TCTACCTTCCATTATTACAGGCAACGACACTCGGGAGGAAAAAAGGGTTTCAATCTAAAATCGATTCATTTGTAATCCCTGTTCGCAGGTTACACGTTTTAAGCGTGTAAACGTGCCTTTTTAACCCCCGCAATAATTTCTCTCGCTCGATTTATAAATTTGGAAAAAAAATGATGGCGGGAATTTATGGGAAATGATAATTAGGATGGGGGATTTTTTCTTGCTGGTATCCGACCGTTTGTCATTTCAGTCTTGGTAACTAGCTCTCTGTATTCTAATCATGCCGTAATATTGTACTGGAATGCAAATTACAACTTTATCCCCGATCTCTTGGATAACGATCGGAAGGCTGCTTCATTTCTACAAGTTCGCAACAAAACTTACAATGTAAATACGTATAAAAACCCTTAACTGCAGGAATATTTGCGGATTTATAAGAAAATTCGTTGCAATTTTCTTACAAGCACGCTGAAGTGTTTATAAATTTATGAGAGCAGCATCTGCACCAGCGTTATTTCCGCATACTTATTGGAGGCAAATTATTCGTGCTACACTATAATTACTTCATTTGTACGAATATAAATAGTGTATTCAACTTTAGACAGTTGACGGAGAGGGCAGCTATTCAGTGCGGATTCTAAAGGAAAACATAAAAATTCAACACAAATTGAGTCATATGAGAAAGCAATTCTGAAAAAAAAGCACTTGATATAAAAAGTGGATTTGTCAGAACAGAAATGAAACTCAAGTTAAATGGTGTGTTAAGGACGCTTAACAATTCAATAAACTTTAATTAACATCCACGTACAAGATGAATTAATTTTAAGTTCACGAACTTAACAACATTCCTTTATTGCCAACTAATATCGTTGTTTTTCATCGTGTAAATCAAGCTGACAAAATTGTTTCTTCTTCACTATACAATGATCATTTCGTCCTCGAGCTAGAACCTGATTACCCGTTTTTTTCGACAGGTTTTATCTCGGGTTTTATGGAAAACATGTTTTTTGACAAGAAGCGCTTGAATTTTTTCTTTAAAATTTTTCAGTAACCGATTTTAAGGAACGATAACAAATATACAGGGTGTTTTTTTGGGAGCTTTAGTTAAAAGGTTCTGGGAAAGTAAAATAAGTAGGTTTTTGAAAATTTGTACTTAGGAGTTACTCTGAAGGCCGAATCTATGTAAAATATTTTCAAAATGGCCGCACTTCCGGAAACACCGGAAGTAGATAGTAACTTCGTTATTTTAAATGGCAACCCCTATTTTTTATTGCATTTTTGGATTCTACGTGAAATTTCACTTCTTTTGATACCCATATGTCAATATCTACCATTTATGGTTTTTAAGTTATTTTGACTTTAAGAAAAAAAATTGCGGATGCAGATGGTACTTTGATAATTGATTACTTGAAAACGGTTGTAGTCATGGCAACCTATTTTTATCAGTGCATAGAGTATGAATAGGGCTTTCTTTTAGTGCACTTAAAAAAAAGTTAAGTTGCATACGACCGCCCCTATGGATATCCAAATTTATGAAACAACAGCTTTCGGCCTTCAGAGTAACTCCTAAGTACAAATTTTCAAAAACCTACGTATTTTACTTTCCCAGAAACGTTTAACTAAAGCTCCCAAAAAAACACCCTGTATATAACGTCATGGTAGAATGTTTAAGATTAAACTAGATGATTGCAGCTAAGAGAAGTAGTTGTTTTTCTGTACAGCCTTTGTTCTTTAAACACGTGTCTCCTTGAAGTCTGGAGTACAGCTGAAATTACATCCTTTTTAATAAAGGTATAAGTTACATTACTGAGTTCAGCACGATAAGAAAACCACGGGATTTAAATTGCGTAGGATTCATTAACGGCTGCGAAATCATTTGGGATTGGTAGTAAAAAAAAGACATTAACCAATGAACATCTACTAATTGTGCCGAGATTACAGTCCCCCAGATAAGTACGGAGCATCATTGATAAAGGTTTGATTCTTCCACTATTGGGACTACAGGAGTATTGAAAATATGATAGACTGATTATTGAGAATAGCATAGACATCATTGAACTATAAAGGCAAACCGGTATAAACGGTAAATGCGTTCCATGTTACGAGTATATAGTTCAATAGGTAGCACATGAGAGAAGAAGTTGTTCTCGTCTTAAATCCAGAGACATTTCCATACATACATTTACAATATAACGCATGTGCCTTGAGCCTTGGTCAACTTTGATCGAATGAGGACTCTATAAATTTCAGATTCATCACGCTTAAATTGTTTACATTAATTATCTAGGCTTCTTTACGCGAATGGAAAGGTGGCTGTATCCTCTTTAGCTAAAGTTATTTTCAATTGTTGAGGAATGAAAAAATACACCTTCCCCGTGAAATTTTAATAGGCAAAAAGGTAAGCAATGGTTCACGATTAGTTTGAGTGAGAAGTGAAGAAAGCAAGTGAGTACATATCATGGAAGGTGTTCAACAGCTCCTTTTTCTTACTTGTAATCAATGAAGTCCCTAGAGCTATTCACCAGTATGGTGGGAAATTATCATTAGTTGATAATCATTAGATCATTAAGAAATAGCCAATAGAAACAACCAACGAAAGCATTCCTTTGTTTCGATTGGCTATTCCTTAGTGATATAATGATAATGATTGTACAAATCCACCATAAGGAAGGCAACCCTGATTTGATTGTGGTTTGGTTAATAACTTTTTAATTAAATTTCACTTTCCCTATTTCTTGCGTTTTATTTATGTTGGCTAATACTCGAGTAACTCGTTTTACAACACAACGCCGGTCCTATCCCTAGACAGGTTTGTTACTTGACGATCATGTGACAAGGATTCTGTTAATTTTGATTTTTGGTTTTGAGTTGCGCACTCGTTCAGCGGCCGGACTTGGGTTATTATAGAATTATGGTGCCGGGATTAAACCTGCGTTGTTACACCAATTTTTAAAAAATAAATTACCCACAACATTTTTGCGACGACACCAATTTGATAAGAATCGAACCAAAACGGTAGTAGGAGATAGGAAAATACTGAAAAACCTTCACGTTAGTAAACTACGCTCGAGGATGACGCCCAGATGTCGCCAACCCCACATCATGTAGCCCTGTTCCTAAGGTTTACAAATTACACGGCCTTGTAGATACACGTACACCCGTTGCCTTTCTACAAGAGTTCCTCTACGCGCCCACGTTTGCTGCCGTCCAGCCCTACGATTCACGGTCATTTCCCCGCCGACAAAATCCCGCCGGTGAACTGCCAGCCGGTGAAATGCCCGCCTGGTAAAAATCCCGCGCGGTAAATTTCCCGCTGAGAAAATGCCCGCCGTGACAAATCCCCGACGGTCAATTCCCCGGCGGTCAATTGACAAAAGACTTCCTGCGAGCAATCAGTAGGCAAGTTAACCACTATGTAATAATTTTAATATGACTAATAAATAATTCAATAATATAATTATGTCGATTTTAAAAAAATTATAAGATTTAAGATACCAATAGGTAGATTATTCCTCAGATATGCTAAAATTGCAATAGAAAGTTCCCTCCTGCGCTAATTAAAAAAATATTAAGAATATTGCTATTATAATATTATAAGGCATATTACTCAGATATGTCCTAATGTGCTGAAATTAAAATAGAAAGTTTTCTCCCCCGATGATTAGAGCATTAGCTTTAAGACTAATGGCCTAATTATTATAAATAGGTAATTTTAAAATGGTCTGGATTTAATTATTCTTTTGCTTTGTGCGTGTGTGTGTTATTTGTAATAGATATGGCGTTACAGTTTTTAAAAAGTCAAAGAGGTAAGAGTTACTATTATTTATTTAATTCCTGCTGCATTCGTTATTATTTTTTATGGTTACTATTTTTGTTGTTTGGAGGAGTGTAAAGAAAGGTACAAACGAGGGGAAAACCACTTTGAATTTTTGTGTACATTTAGTTGAATTTTTTTTAATTTGCGTGAATTTTCTTGATTTGATTTTGAATTCTTCTTATGAAGTGCTCCATGAAACGTGTCCTGATTATTAAGTATATTACGTAGGTATATTGCCTATAAGAACACGTTTAATAGTTTATTATATTTTCTTTGGATTTAATGTTACAACATCTGAGATATACATGTTTTTAGCTCGGCCTGATGATGATTCGTTAGAATCGAAATCGATAGCCAAAGAAAATATAATAAACTATTAAACGTGTTCGTATAGTCAATATACCTACGTAATATACTTGATTTTGAATATTCTTGATTTCCATATAACTTGATGAATTTTGACAATGTCTGAATTTTTTGTATTTTATCTCGGAATTTTTGCTTATTTCATTTGAATTTTCAGGAATTATTTCGGAATTTTACAAATTTATCCTGATATTTTTTGTTTTAATTTTCGTAAAATCCTGTAATGTATGAGTGTAAGTCCCGGTATTATTGAATTGTAAAATTGGAAATACCTATGAAATAACCCAACTACGTATATTGTATTTTTTTTATTGCACCTACCAATTCAAAATTTAATTTAGAACCCGTCCAAAACCTAACAAAAAATTAATAGTATGAAATCCCTATAAATTTTTTGAATTTATCCGAATTTTTTCGAGTTTTTTTGAATTTCAATTTTTGTGTGCCTACACCTAATTGTATAGTTGTTTCCCCCTCGAGTACAAAATTTCTTTAGAGTGTAATCACAATTGATTTGTTTTTAGGTAAAGATATGCTCGTACTAGAAGGATATTTATTTGAGAAAGATAAAATGGCGGACGATGGTCGTATATTTTGGAAGTGTGTAGAAGCAAAGAAAGGGAAATGTTCAGCTAGACGGCATACTCTAAACGATGCAGTAGTTAAGTCATTGCTGGACCACAATCACGTTCCAGATATTGCTGCAATAGAAGCGAGGAAAGCAATTAATTCTATTAAAGAGCGCGCAAAGACAACAAGAGATGCCGGCTACGCTGTTATTGTTGTGGAATCCTCACAGTTACTCGAACCTGTTCAAGCTAAGTTACCGAATGTGGAATGCATCAAACGAACTATTAGGCGGCAACGACAACTTCAAGGGAACTATCCTGCAAATCCAAATTCACTGCGAGAATTGAACATTCCAGATGACATGCGTCTTATATGTGTGAATGGTCAGCAAGAACCATTTCTTTTGTTCGACAATGGGCCAGACACTGAACACCGAATATTAATCTTCAGTACCCAACGAAATTTGGAACTACTGGAAAGGTAAACCCTATGACCTCTTAGTTTATACGATAATCATGAATTTCTCATTTTCAGATGTGAACATTGGTATGCAGATGGTACCTTCAAAACCACGCCACCGCTCTTTACCCAAGTGTATACGATACACGGTGTGAGATTTAATACTTGTATACCATCAGTTTTCGTCTTACTGCCTGGTAAAAGTAAAGTTCTTTATCAAGAGATGATACAAGCACTAAAAGGACTTAGACCAAATTTAAAACCGTCTACCATAATGATAGACTTTGAACGTGCTGCAATTGAAGCGTTCCAAACGGAGTTCCCAGAAATATTGGTTAGAGGTGAGACTTATTGAAACAAAAAAAATTTCGTAAACCATTTTTTTGCGCGATCGGTCATTTCTGACTATTTACCATGGGTGTTTCCATGACAGTACGTAGAATTTACCAGTTGCTATGATTACGACGACGTCAAAATTACTTACCGATCTAAAAACAGAACAGCAAAAATACTTACCGACGCCTTTTTAAAAATCAACAGTCTTACATTACATTTAATCTTTAATTATTGTTAGGTAAATTAAACGTACAATTTGTGCTGTTTTTCCTATAGCAAGACGCTCATAAAGTCATAAAGGAAGTGCAAAGCTAGTAAACTACATCAGACACATGCACATTTTTATGAAATTATTAATTTCAATTTTGACATTTAAACTGGTTGCCTAGTGATGTACACCATACCACTTCGATCATTTCGATTTATTCTGCTCGTTAATTTCTTAGTGCATATTTATATTGGTTGCATAATTTTAATTTCGATCGCGCAAAAAATGTTATAAGCACGTCGAACGTTAAGGGTTACCGTTCTCAGACAATAATTGGAGTCGTCGCTTCGCTCCTCCTCCAAACAATTGTCTTCGAACGGTAAAAATCCCTTACCGTTCTCCATACTTAATATACTATTTTTTTCAAATAGGGTGCTTCTTCCACTTGGGTCAGTGTATATGGAGGAAGGTACAAGAACACGGGAAAGCAGTACGTTACGCGAATGATGTTGAATTTGCTGTTCAAGTTAAGATGTTAACTGCAATATCGTTTTTACCTTTACATGATGTGGTTTTGGGATTCGAAGAACTCATGGACACAGAATATTACAGAAACGAAATCGACCTCCACCCTATATGATATGCGACTACTTTGAAGATGTCTGGATTGGACGCCCACATAGAAATATCCGTAGACCGCCGTTATTTCAATATAATTTATGGAATTTCTATGACGCTACAAACAATGATCTTCCAAGAACTAACAACTCTGTTGAAGGTTGGCATCGTCGTTTTACAGAACTCATATCTGCTCAGCATCCAAGTATCTGGAGGTTTATTGCTGCAATAAAGGATGAGCAACATATGAATGAAATCGCCATTTCCCACTATATCCAAGGACGAGACGGACCTCGACAGAAAAAAAAATATCGAGATTTAAATATTAGAATTAAAAATTGTGTAGCAAGGTACGACGCCAATGAAAAGGTAGCGTTTCTAAGAGGGCTAGCCCATAATTTAAATTTAAATGTTTGACGATGAAGATTATTATAATATTAAGTTATCTATAAGTAATTTCAATTAATTAATAAATTTTGTATTAGCAATCATTTTTAGTTTTTGTATCCATCAAAGAAGATAGAGAAAAAGGAAAAGTTTGTATAATAACATTCTAACAATGGCAAAGACGGGCAATTAGTTTACGCGGGCTATTTTTACGGCGGCCAAATGACCAAGGGGAATTTCTCCGGTCGGGAATATTACCGTGCGGGGAAATTACCGGCGGGGAAATGACCGGCGGGATTATTGATTCGGGAAAATCACCGGACACGCAGCCAGCCAGCCAAAGTGAGATTAAAAGCTACTTTTTACAAATAAATTTGCAAAAATGCGCTAAAAAGTGTATGTCATTGTTGCGCTAAATTTTACTGGTAGTTTTCGCCAGACAAAGAAGTTTGGGGGTCTTGCACCTGAACCCGTGCGGGTCCGCAGTTAAGAAGACACTTTTATTAAAGTGTTTACCGAAATAAAGGAAGAATGAAGGAAGTCGTGTGAAAAATGCAATTATTTGAGCGTAATGAATTTTAAAACGGGTACGAAATGTGAATGTACTTCAAACAAACAAGTAGCTCGGTCAATATCGACATCAAACATTGCAAACGCGCATGTAACTACGATTTTTTATATGTTGTTAGGTCCCTTGAGAGTAGTTAACACCCAAGTTTGCAACCCTGAAAACCTTGTGCTACCCCCACGGTGCTCGAAAAACTGCGAAATTTTGGCACATATTTCAGTTGTTTAGAAAAATGTACCTTAACGAAGAGTTTTTTCAAGTACGTGTTCTAGTACTTTAATAAAGATAACTAAATTTGCTACAATTTCAGCGAAACCTGAGCACGCTATGTCTTTTGGTAGCGAAAATACAGCAAGTCAAAGATGGGCAATTTTCCCCCAGTGCTAGGAAAACTGTGAAATTGCAGAATTTTCGATGTAACAGCTGGATAGATCTCACCAACATTTTCCTTGACCCAAACTCCAACAAAGAAGACGTAGGAAATGCTGGCGAGAAGATCTTGATCAACCTCTACGGAGGAGATGCGGGGACACTGAATACTTTGCGATACTCAGCATTTGTCAAATCGGCAGTAACGGTCAAAGTGAACCTTGCTCGCCTCCCCCCAACTACAGATGCTGCAATATATCATTCTTGGAGAACTTACCACCAAGTACAAAAATGGTTAGGGGTTGAAAAGAACCCGTGTGACTGGGGATGGGAGACCAGCGAACAAGGTCTAATGCCTGTCACAATGTGCGCAGAGCCCGCTCCTCAGACCCTGCTTAAAATGTTGGCTTGCAAATGCAAGAAAGGTTGCTTAGGTTCGTGCACTTGCAGAAAGGCCGGGCTCAAGTGCTATGTCTTATGTTCCGTTTGCCACGGTCGAAATTGCAATAACGCCATCCCTATAGTTATGGATGAGGAGGACGAGGATGAGGACAATCCAACACCATATGCCGACCCGCCTCCACCTCCAGAAAACACTATCTCTCCACCCCCACTCCCCCCCACTGATCTTGAGTGGTTGAACCTGGTCCTTCCAAAAGGGCGAGAGTCTAAAGCTCTTAATTTGTGTAAATTTAAAGTTTTAATTTATTACTGTTTTTTGTATTTACTTGCATCTTAAATGCCAAATTTGTACTTTTTGTTCTTCATGAATAATACATATATTATTGAGCACAATGTTTTTATTATTTAGCGAAAACCTAATCATCCTTTAATATTATAAACGTGAAAGTTTATAAGTATGAAATGGACGCATGGATGTTTGTTAATCTTTCAAACTACTGAACAGATGAGTTTTCCTAGCACTGCGGGAAAATTGCCCATCTTTGACTTGCTGTATTTTCGCAACCAAAAGACATAGCGTACTCAGGTTTCGCTGAAATTGTAGCAAATTTAGTTATCTTTATTAGAGTACTAGAACACGTACTTGAAAAAACTCTTCGTTAAGGTACATTTTTCTAAACAACTGAACTATGTGCCAAAATTTCGCAGTTTTTCGAGCACCGTGGGGGTAGCACAAGGTTTTCAGGGTTGCAAACTTGGGTGTTAACTACTCTGAAGGGACCTAACAACATATAAAAAAATCGTAGTTACATGCGCGTTTGCAATGTTTTCTTTATTTTATGTAGATTTTGACCGGTCTAAAGTGTTTGTACTGAATTTTAAAATGAAGACTACTATTAAAAATGCACCTCTCTCAATGGATAAACAACAACGCAATGTGACAGCCTAAATGAATTTTTTCAGGTCCTTTATGCCTGGCTTAATCGAAAACAAAAGATTTAATGAAGGCTTAATTAAAAAAAGTTTAATATTTGCCCTGGTATGTATGTACCTAAAGCTGCCGGCGGTAATTTTCGATTTTAAATCAATTTTGGCAAGAAACTTTTTTAATTTTGTATACACCTGCGGATAGCGGCACTATTATTTAGTTAATAAAAAAAGATTCTTTCCCACCATCATCCGATGAGAAAATCGAATGTGTAATTTTCCGCACCGATTAATTTGTATTCATTCATAGATAAATTAATTGAATCGTGTAGTACTTATTGAATACGATACATGCTTGTAAACATAAACAGAGAGATGCGCTTCGCAATTAATAGTAGACTTTGTCGGCGTATAATCAATGGTTTCACGTTTCGGTATTCAAAGCGTGGATAAATTCAATTGGACTATTAAAAATGACGGCTAATTTGTTTGACATGCCACGAGGAGAAATTGCAGAATATAATGTTCTTGAAAGTGAAGAAACTTTGGTAATTTTGTGCGAAGCTTAAACTTGTTTAATATATTGCGGGAGTTTTAATTAATTAATCGATCAACATTTCTAATTGTCAGAAAATAAACCGTGCTAGGTACGTTGGTTTCCTATGCGGAGTGGCAAATCAGAAAGCTCGCGCCATAATCAAAATACCTTTTCACACGTAAACTTTACTTTTCATTGGGACATATTCTTGAATATATTTATCCCTCCTGATTCTTCATCCCTCACGTCGGGGATGACTCTTAAATCCGTGTCCGTATCCTTTTAAATCAGTGCAAATTTGTACTTTCATTTAGTTTCCCCCGTCATTTAAGAAGCGAAAAGCTCCTTAGTTAGTCCTCGTTTTGTGCTTATTTGTGCGCCAACTCCCACGTTTTGTACATTAATATTAACGTAGATATGAAATTTTTAAATTGAAGTTACACCAATCTAGGTTAGTTTTACATGGTGAATCGCGTTCGTTTTGTATTGGTTTTTGCGCCCACTCTACGTGCATTAAGCTTTCTACCAAATGCAAAAACCTATATACACACATGGTGCTCATTTTGTGCGGCACGTTTTGTTTTGTTCGCGATGGTACGTACCAAAAGTTTGGCGTCGCGGATCCTGCACACTCTAATGCCGACCGTCCTAAGACTTTGAAAGGAGAAGGTGGCTTAAATATACCATTAAAAGGAAACAGTTCATACCATCCGCCCAAAATATTGGAACCCTCATCAACTTCTTTGTAAACTCGAGTCCAATATTCGGGTGAGAAGAATTCCGAAAGGAGCTCGGGTACAAACAGTCGAGAGTCTCGCTTGCCTAATCAACAAATGTACTGATATGACCGCTGACTCTGCCTCCTCAGTCCTCCCTCAAATCATGAATGGACCTTTTTAACTTCTCATACGTTGTTCTTAAAATTCCAGAATCCATGTCAAAAAAGAAGAATCTCGCAAGTAAAATTAAGCAAAATGATGCCACTAAACGTCCCTAAAATTCGAAACCGTCCTGCTAAACCTACTTCTATAACACGTCGATTTGAGTTTAAGATGTCTATAACCGATTTGAAAATTCATGGACGCCCACCATCCTCGACGTAGGTAAAAAGATTTTTGAGGTGAAGCTAAACACTCTGAATAGATGATTTGAATAGTCATCATATTGCCTATTTCCTCTTTCGGAACTGTTTCGCAATTCCCAAATTGACATATATTCTCCGCAACTGTCCATATTGGCTCTACTTGACCTCATCAATCAAATTTTGCACTTTTTTGTAATCCCCCCTTTGGTATCACGCACAGCAAACAACTATACTGAATTTTGAACAATAGCTATCTATGGTAACGAACGTGTCAAAACCTATTTATGGTATACGGACAAATAAAGATTGATTGATTGAATATACTGGCGCGCTTAATAAGCTTGTCCTTCACCGTGTCTATCACTGTCCTTTACACGACGGAAACGCGATTATACAACAATTACGTTAACTGTTTACTTCATCCTAATCTCGCGATAATTCGTATTTTTCTGCGTGGATGACACGTTGCGTTGTTAAATTTTACGTTCCAATGAAAAGTAAAATACCCGCAATCTACACTGGGTTCTTTCTTATGCCCGAACACGAGATATTTTTTTCTTATTACGTACGGTTTTCTAACCTAAAACCCGAACTAATCTCGCGTTTAGTGCTCAAAGTAAAACTAATAATTTAGACCACGCATTAACTTTATCGTTGTCCAAGACCGAATGTATCCTTTCTCATCAACTAGCACCCACAAAATAGCTTATTATCAATGAAATACGGCCTTCTTTACATGTTGAGTCGTTTTCTTCATTCTTGCACTACCATTTAAAGAAAAGATAAGGTAATAAAGTA